CAAGACACCTGGTGCGGCCTCGGGCCTCGTGGAAGACGAAGAGCGAGCAGCGGGCGGTGTCTCGTCCACGACGTACCTGGCGTATCTCGGCTGCTCTGGCTGGAGCAGCAGCGCCACGGTTCTTGCGATCGCGATCCTCTTTGGCTCGACGCAAGGGCTCGTGACATTGGGCGACTGGTTCATGGGCTACTGGTCGACGCACGACGGACACCTCTCGCAGCTGTGCTTTGCCAGCCTCTTTGTCGCGATGGCGTTTGCCTCGCTCGGTATCATCTGGGGGCGCAGTCTCTTCTTGCTCGTGCTTTCGCTTCGGAGCTCCAAGACGTTGCACGCGTCGCTGCTCACCAAGGTCCTCTCGGCGCCCGTCAACACGTTCTTTGACGTGACGCCCATCGGGCGTATTCTCAACCGGTTCTCGAGCGACTTGGACCAAGTCGACTCGCAGCTGCCGCTCTTTGCGCTCTTCCTCCTCCAAACGCTGGCGCAGGTCCTCGCAGTTGTCGTCGTCTGCGCTGCCTCGCTGCCGTTCATTCTCCTCGTCTACCTCCCGATCGCTGCCATCTTCTTCTGGATCCAGCGACTCTACGTCACGCCGTCGTGCGACCTCAAGCGCATGGATGCCACGACGCGGTCGCCGGTTCTCAACGTCCTCTCTGAGACGATCAATGGTCTCTCGACGATCCGCGCCTTCCGCATGAGCAGCGAGTTTGCCGCCAAAAGCCGCGCTGTGATTGCCGACAACAACCGCTTCTTCTTTGCGTATCGCATGCTGGCGCGCTGGCTTGCCATGCGTCTTGACTGGGTCTCATGCCTGGTGGTCGCCGCTGTCGCCTTTTTGCTCATCGCGTGCAAGGACGCAGTGGGCCCCGTCGCCGCCGGGTTGGCACTGACGTATGCGTCGCAAATGACATCGGGGCTCTCGGCGCTCACTGGTGTCTACGCTCTTGTGGACAATATCATGACGTCCGTCGAGCGCCTCGAAGAGTACAACAGCCTCGAGACTGAAGGTGACACCAAGCTCGTCACGGCAACCGTCGACGCATCGTGGCCTGTGAAAGGCGTCGTCACCTTTGACCACTATGCGATGCGGTACCGCGACCACCTCGACCTCGTCCTCAAGGACGTGTCGTTCACCGTGCCGGCCGGCGCCAAGGTCGGCATCTGCGGCCGCACCGGCTCGGGCAAGAGCTCGCTCATGGTCGCGCTCTTCCGCATGGTCGAGGCCGCCACTGGTCGCATCCTCATCGACGGCGTCGACCTCGCCTCCATCGACTTGCACACGATGCGGTCGCGGCTCACGATCATCCCGCAAGACCCGGTGCTCTTCTCTGGCTCATTGCGCTTCAACTTGGATCCGTCGAGTCGCTCGAGTGACGACGAGCTCTGGAGCGTGCTCAAACAAGTGCACTTGGGCGACGTCATCTCAACGCTCGAGTTTGAGGTCGCGGAGAAGGGCGGCAATCTCTCGGTGGGCCAGCGACAGCTGCTCTGCATCGCGCGCGCCTTGTTGCGCAAGAGCCGCGTCGTCTTGCTGGACGAAGCTACCGCCAGCATCGACTTGGCGTCGGACCGGCTCATCCAAGAGACCATCAAGGAGTGCTTTGGTCAGGACGTGACCTTGCT